TCAACCACTTCGCGACTTTCACAATCTTAATCATCTAACTTTTTTCCTGCTAGGCATCTTAACTTCTCTTTGTCAATTGCCCTTGCCTTATCACCACCATTTTACTAAACCCCTAAACTCACTTATATTTGTATATAAAATATTGATTTGGCTAATCTACATTTTTATATATTTTTAATTGAGTGGTGTAAAATTATCATATTTTTATATATTTGTTATATGATGTAATATTTTGCTTCACACTAATTACATCATTTGACAGGCTCTATATGATATTTATGAATAGTGTCATGTAAAGTATGATATCAAATGTGGTCAACATAAATTATTAAAATTTTATTTTCAACATTCTTTTTTAAATATTACAAGTTTAAATAACTAAAATTTAAGCAATAAAATGTATATTACCACACATATATTGTTTCTAAAATATTTTTCTTATGAAAAATTCATTTTTGTCATAGAATATTTATACCAAAAAAAAACACTATTTTTTCTCATATTTTTCTTAAACTTTAAATTTGAACTCCAGAATCTATCAATTATTGTTTAAATTAGATTTGATTTACATATAAACTTTCATCTAATTTTTTTTTAAAATTTTAAATTAGATATGTTTGGATGGGTTAATAATTTTATGCAGTATATATTTATTAATTTTTATAAACAGAAATTAATATTTTGGAGCTCTAAAAATTTTTTGGACAAAAAGTTATTTTGCGTTAATATATAGATAATAATAGATTTGAAAAAATTATCACTCACAAACAATAATTATAGTTTCATTTGTCAATTAAAAATAAAGTGCTAATTTCAAAACATGATGCTTTCTATTATAGAAATTGTAGTCAGATTATTGCTTATTAAAGATTCATGATTATAATTAAAGAAAACTAAAAAACTTATCATATTGATTAACAAAATATTTAAATTAAATAAAAATAAGAAAGAACTAATAATATAATTAAAGAGCTCGTAATATTATAATATAATGTTATTAAATTCTATCATTTTATAACAGGTGCATAAAATTTTAATAAATTATTTTTTAAAAAGTATCATGATTTTAGAAAACATATTACCTTATTGATTCAAAATAAATTTCCTACCAAAACAATTATTAATTTTTATTTTACACAATCTCACATCAGGAAAAAAAGAAAAAAGTGAGTTGTTTTACTGATATAAAGTGAACCTTATAGTGTTGTGCATGTTTTAATTGAAAACAATTTAAATTTTAAAATAAAATAAAATTTAAAAGTTTTAATTAATTAATTTTTGTATAAGTTGAGTGGTCTTTTGACCGATTTTAACTATTTTATCAGAATATATATATTTTTTCAACAGTGTTACACACATCAATTACTATACCAAATAGTGTACCTATTGTGAATCTTATAAATCTTCATCTTATTCCAAAAGGTATCTTACACAAGTATTTATACAGTAAACAAAATATCTGATCTATACAAAATATCTAATCCTAACTAACTTTTTAACGAGCATAGCTCATATCAGTCTAAAAAACTATAACAAACTTATATTCTAACCACCACAACTGATTCCATTGTAGCATTCCATTTGGATACGATTACAGACCTGTGATGCACAAGCTGTAGCAGGCAAAGGCTGCAACTTAGGTTTGATGTTCGATGGTGTGATGTTAGATGTGATAACTCATTCATCCCTTCTCTCGCTGATAGGGCAAGGAAGCACTAACAGCTTGTCTTGAAGATAATGAAATCGAGAAAGAGAGATCAGCCACTTGATCAACTGTAGGAACATATTTGAGCTCAACCTATTTGGCAACCACTTTCTTTCTAATAAAATGACAATCAATCTCGATGTGCTTGGACTGAGAATGAACCACAAGATTGGATGCTAAAGCCATAGCAGACAAACTATCACACCAGATAACAGGAATAGTAGGAGAATAAACACAAAAATCCGCAAGTAACTGCTGAAGCCAAGTGAGCTCAGTTGTGGCATGAGCTAAAGCTTGATATTCAGCCTCAGTGGAAGACCAAGAGATTGTAGCTTGCTTCTTAGCTGACCAAGAAATCAAATTAGACCCAAGATAAACACAATAGCCAGAGGTAGATTTTCAATCAAAACTGTCACCTGCCCAATTTGAGTCTGAAAATGAAGAAAGAGAAAAAAGACTAGGAGTGAAAGAGAGGCCATGAGACAAAGTCCCCCTAACATAGCAAAGAAGCCTCTTAACTGCTTGAAAATGAGCATTGGTGGGAAGATGCATAAACTGACAAGCCTGATTGACAGCAAATGAGAGATCAGTTCTAGTGATAGTCAAATATTGTAGGCCTCCCACTAAACTCCTATACAAAAAAGGCTGAGAAAAAGGCAAAGAGTCAGATTCAGAAGGCACTGACTTAACAACCACAAGAGAAGAGCATGGTTTACAGTCTTGCAAACCAGCTTTGTGAAATAAGGCAACTGCATACTTGCCTTGAGTTAAGAAATAACCATGCTCATGCATATGAACTGAAATGCTCCTTTATTGAAAATGCCTTATGCATTTGCTAAAGAAGTTGAGCAAGCAGGGTAGAATCACTTCCAGTAAGTAATATGTCATCAACATACACCAAGAGGATGGTAAGACTAGTGGAAGTGTTCTTGATAAAGAGGAAAGTATCTGAAAGACTATTGGTGAACCCTTGAGAGAACAAGAAGGCTGAAAAAATAGAGTACCAAGCCCTAAGGGCTTACTTGAGATCATATAAATCTTTCTTGAGTTTACAAACATGATTAGGAGATTACACAAATCCTGGAGTCTGGATCATATAGACCTCTTCCTGAAGAATGACATGAATAAAGGCATTGGAAATATTATGCTGTTTGATAGGACATTGAAATTGAAGAGCTATACTCAAGAAATTCTGATGGTGGGTTGTTTAGCCACTAGACTAAAAGTCTCATGAAAGTCAATGCCCTCATGTTACAAATACACTTTGGCCACCAATCTACCATTATACTTTGCAATAATACCATTGGAATTTCTTTTAATGCGAAAAACCCACTTGCACCCAATGGCAATCTTATGTGATGGAAAAGCAACAAGGTCCCAAGTGCCATGTTGTTCAAGAGCTTGATATTATTTCTTCATGGCTTAAAGCCACATAGGAGATTGAAGAGCAGCCTGAACGGAGGTAGGTTAGTGTTAAGAAGAGAAGTAGTAGCAGCAAGACACGGTGGGAGTTTGTGTTTGGATCTAGTAAGCATGGGATGTGTGTTGGATACAGAAGAAGGAAGAGAATGAGGAGGTAAGTCAATAGTAATAGAGAAAATAGGTATGGGCTGAACAAGGGAAGCAGGAGCAAGAGAAAGAAGAGAAGAAGAAAAAGGCTCAGAAGAAGCAGACAAAGGTAAAACAGAAAGAGCAGAAGATGGCACAGAAGTAGGTGGTGCAAAAAAAGGCCTAGAAGGAAGCACAGAACAAGAAACTAATGAAGTAGACCAGAAAAAGGAAGTAAGATTAGACAAATCTAAAGAGGAAGAAGAAGGAACTAAAGACTGCTGAGAAAAAGGAAAACAAGACTCATTAAAGACTACATGCCTAGACATGTAGACTCTAACAGAAAAAGGATCAAAACACCTATAACCCTTAATGGTAGGATGATAGCCCAAGAAAGCACAAGAAGCGGATTTAGGTTGCAGCTTGTGAGTAGTGTAAGGCTTTAACCAAGGAAAACATTGTCAACTAAATACTTTGAAGAAGGAAAAATCAGGTAAGGTATGAAACAAAACTTCAAAAAGGGTCTTGTGATGTAAATCACTAGAGGATATTCTGTTAATAAGGAAAGCAGCTGTGGCAATAGCATCAAACCAAAATTTAATAGGAACAGAAGAGTGATGAAGAAGTGCTATTGCAGTTTTAGTAAGATGTCTATGTTTGTGTTCAGCTATGCCATTTTCAACCTAAATATAGGGACAACTGCGTTGATGAACAATGCCATGAGAAAACAAAAAAGCATCAGCTCTTTTATTAACAAATTCAGTACCACAATCAGTCCGAAGGATCTTAAGTGAAGTCTGAAATTGAGTTTCAACATAGGCTTTGAATACAAGAAATTTATCATACACCTCACTCTTGTAGTTTAAAGGATAAACCCAAGTGAATCTACTAAAATCATCCACAAACAAAACATAGAAACGAAATGGGGCATTAGCCACTGTGAAAGGACTCCATACATCACTATGAACCAAGGAAAATGGACAATTAGCAGAAGTATTAGACAATTTGAAAGGAAGCCTATGAACTTTGGACACATTACAATCAATACGAGACAAGTCCTTACTCAATGAAAATTTATTTGGTAAAAGAGCAGCCATATGATGAAGCTTTAGAGATGGTGGATGTCCTAATCTACGATGGCAAAGCATATCAGACATAGGGGCAGTAGTGCTAGACTGAAAAACTTAGAGAGAAATTGCTCAGAAGATGAAGTGAATTGGTAGAGACCATTGACATTAACACCTTTATGCAAAACACTACAACAAAAAAGGGTTTTTACGGTGTGTAATGCACGTCGTAAAAACCATTATACGACGTGCAGTGCGCGTCATATTATGACCAGTCATGGAAAGTCATTCACTTTCAACGACATGCTTCGTATGTCGTTGTTACTTTTTCTAGGACATGCTATAGTACACCGTTAAAAACTATTTAACGGCAGATTTTGTGCGTCGTTGTTACTTTTTCTACAACTACATTTGGATGCCGTTAATTGGTGAGAAAAATAACAATGCTGATTGCGTGTCGTAAAATATGTAATACAACGACTTATTATGCCTGTCGTGGAATATGCAGTTTTTTATTTTTATTTTTATTTTTAAATTCAGCAGGTTCTGTTTGACCAATTTTGTACAATCTAACAAATATTACAAACAAGCATCACAAAATATCAATCAACCACCAAAATATTGTTTGAACCATAAAAAAAAAATATATCCATAAATTATAAACATTCAACAATTGTCTATACATTCCAAACATTCGAAAACTATATCCTTAAGTTCTAAACTGTACAAAAAGTTTAAACCATCCAAAACTATGCATATCTAACTTTCTAAACATATCGACAACTATTAAGAGATTATCTAAAACTACTGACAACAGTTCCTATAACAGTTGTTGCTGCAATTGCAGTAAATCCACTTGCTCCTATCACAGAGACGAGGGTGCCCAATGTATGTGTTAAGGCACCTAAACCCGCGGCAATAGCTAGTGCAACTAACCCTATTGTATTTCTTGTCTGCATGACAAAGGAAACTTCACTTAAGTCAAAAAACCGACGACTCAAGGACAAAAATATTTCTTGAGGTATTAAGAAATGATCAAAAAATTTTAAAACATCAATAAAACATTTTCAAAATTAATAAGATAATTCAATGGCCCTATAAAAGCAATGTTATATAAGCCAATCACATGCCGAACGTAGCTTTTTTTTAGTTATAAAATAAAGCAAATAAATCCATTTTTCAATACACAATAAACTTTTTTAAAAGAACAAACTCAATTATGCACCTAATCAACTAAATAAACTAGACGAAACCATTTAATAACAACAACATCAACTAAGGGCATTAGGTTTACAAAGAACTATCAATAAGTCTTTTAATTTAAAAACAAACATCTTTTAGTCCAAAAATACTAACCAGCAGCTACAATAGAGTAGATATTTGAAATCAAATAAAAATATTTTACCTGCCTCCATGATAGTTGGTAATTGCTATAGCAGCCACCATATGGGGTTGATGACAAAAACTAGATTGCTAAAAAAAAAAAAAAAAAACTGAGGAATATAGGTAAATAAGAAACAATGAAAATAAAAAATTAACTCTAATGAACTAAAGCAACAAATACAGCATAAGGTAGAGCTTAACCTAAGAAGCCCTAAATTCCTTTTCTTTTCTCTTCTTGTAGAAAACCCACAATTTCAAATTCTTTGCCACAAAAGAGTAAACAAATGCCCATTTTGGTACAATGTAAAAACAAAGTAATATATATTCTATAATTCTAAAAGCCTTGGCATTTATATGATAGTCATTTCTTATCACCATGATGTACATGGTAATTCTCTAGATTAAATAAGATTTGCAATAACCCATAATCTAAACCAAGAGGGTAAATTTTAAAAAAAAGCGTGCCACAACAAATTATCTCTAGATTACATAAAAAAAAAACTATGCTCACCCACGATTACTCCTGCTTGCAAGGAAAAAATAGATTACACAATTCATAATCAACCACAATTGCCACTGTCTAAACCTTTCATAATTTTGTTATAGCACTCCACAAAAAGTATAAAGTTTCTTATTCTAATAGAGGAAAAATATGCAACACACTAATTTTCGGACAAAACCTACAAGTTCAAATTTTCTGAAAAATCCCATGCAACATAGCTAGTCTTGAAGTTGCACACTCTTTTTCTTCCTAGCTTTGAGCCACTAATGTCATCAAACCCTTTACCAAAACCCCTTACTAGAAATCATTCAAACCCACCCAATTGCAATCCACACATCCCCAACTGAAAGTAGCCAAAGAAATTCAAATTACTGTTTTAGCTTAAATCTGATACAAAGCCTTACACCAAGAATTCCCATCTTTCATATCCAGCATTATAGCTTCCTTTGCATGTTTGATGCTTTCCTCGACAATCTCTGCCTGATTATCAGCACCTACAAAGATAACAAAGAATTAGGAAAGCAAATGAATGCATTTATATTATGATTGATGCACAACCTTTGACTCGAAGAGAGAGTGTGAGCTCTACAATGCTTCCATTTGTTGTGATCAGATCTCCAAATTATTTTTATATTTACACTTTATACAAGCCTTAGCAAACTAGAAACTGAAAATTAGAGACCACAAATAGCATGAGAATGAGGCTACTTTCTGATTTGAAATGATAAACCAATCTGAATTTTCTCTTATATATTTTACCTTTCTTTGACTAACTAGAAAATATGCCCTATTTACATTTTTACAAGAATACTCACCTAATATAAAAATCATAAACAATTTTTTTTTTTATTTTTTATCTCCATCTATCATGCTTTTTTTTTCCCAAGCGAGGGAGTTATTCTTTGTACTTCCAAAGTGTCTAGACCAGTTAAATTTGATGATTACCAAATTGTCTTCAGCAAATATAACTGGCAATACAAGGGCAAAACAGTCAGTCAAGAACACAAAAATTCTAACAAAATTCACCATCTCTAGGCCTGTTGCTTCCATCAACACCACAACAGAGGTACTAGATTAAAAGACATCAATGAAACTGGTAGCAACAAAACAAACAGAAGGATTTAGAACTCAAGAAGCTCAAAGTCAAAAAATAGATAGAGTAGTGAATGTTTTCTCTTTCCTTCTTCCTTTTGAGACACAAAAGAAAAACCAGTAAAGGTTTTTGGAACAAGAATACGATGACAGGTACAAGCAATGTCCGTTACAACATTATTATTAACTAAAATAGATTCATTAATATCCTAAATAAGCTCACTGTAGAGAATGTAAAAAAATAAATAATAAATTCACTGGGAATTGGGACAACTTTCCTTGCTTTCTTTCCTATTATTATTTAATTAATTAATTTAGGTATTTTATTTATTTATTTTGCAAGGATTAGATGAGAAGAAATATGACCATGATAAGTAACAGAGATGCTTGTATGGCTATAGAATTACAAGACAAGATAGAAGGATGAAGGAAAGAGTCTATGGCATTAAGTTTCATGCCACCAAGAACCAAAGAGATAAGATAAAAAGGCATGAAAGCAAATTCAAATTTGATATCTTACGATCTCTATAGGATGGAAATTACAAATGAAGCATGCAACATCCAATGATAACACTTTCTAACAGATTTCAACATCAGCAATTCAACTATCTTGAAAATCCTACGTGATTTGTGATTAGATCAAGATTAACTAATTCCAAACCCAATAAATTCAAAACACTCAACCTAAAATCATCAAACACTTACGAGAGTGATTTTAGTTTGTTTGTTTTTGAGAATAAACAATAAATCAACACAAACGATTTTTACGTGGAAAAAACCACAATTGAAGAACCTTCAATTGTAATCAAAAACCACGGGCGAACCGCCACTATCAATCCACTACTGAAGAACGAAAAGATTACAAAGAAATCATACAAATTACCCAACCCTAGTCAATTTGTCTCTGAATCTTCTGTAACTCTTTTCACCACACCTTCGTCACGGAATTGATTCTGAAGTTGATTCCACACCACAACTTCACTTGTCGAATTAACGACTGCGTAGACTCAAACTCCTTTTTGATCCTACGCTTTGATCTTCGGAATCCACCGAAGAGAACTCACTTGAAACTTAAGAAGCAACCTCCTTGATGTATGAATTTCAATGCATAAGTTCATAACTCTCTTAAGAACATCAAGGAAAACGATCAAAAATCTCCAAAGAAGACTTCAAACACAACCCTAGTTTGTTTTGATCAGATCTAGGAAAACGTACTTCACAAAAACACCCTTAGCAGCTTTAAATAGAAAACTGGATCCGCGATCTCCGCTCGAGCTCACAACATCCCGCTCGAGCGGACTGACCAAAAACTGCATGCGAAGAAACTGAGATGCGCTCGAGCGTAGGAGTTTCCGCTCGAGCGTAAAATCACACCCACCAGTATTTGTTGCTTGCCCTGACAAACTACTGAGACCTGCCAATCTACGCTCGAGCTCAACAGTCTCCGCTCGAGCGGACAGTACAAAAACACAAAAAAAATACTTTTGAATCAACACAAGGTTTTGTCTCCGGATTTGACAACATAGGGACCTAACATATCTTATAAGAGTCAAATTGAGGGCGTTGCAGGTTAGAAAGAAACATACTCAAACTGCCCTCTGAACGAATTGTCCGAGCAGCAGCAACCCAAACTGTTAGATTTTGACTAGAATAAAGTCTCATGTAAATAAATGGCCCAAACATTCCAGATCTAAAATAGAGAGAACTCCATAAATTATCTTCCAAAGAACCAAGAACCCAAGTATAATGTAACCATAAGAGAAAACAGAATAATAACTTCTTGTGTTTTAATAAATATAGAAGATTATATTCAAGAGGAACCAAGAGAAAACAGAAAAATAACACGGAACTAAGATCCTTGCCTTGAGCCATTGTTCTTTCTAGCATATATAATTGACAAAGTATCTTTATGTTTGGACCCTGCATCAGATATAAACTTATTGGTAGTTGAATATACACAGATGAAATAAAAACACACATCACCCCTGAAATTGGAGAAACAATGGAAATATATCATAACTCAAAAACGTAACCTTGCTTAATGCAAGTGTAAAGTAGTTTTTTTGCTGAAGGTAGATCTCCGTTTTTCCAAATGCAGTTACCTAAGCAGAGCCAAACATCTACCAGAGATGGATTCAACTTCACCTGGAATAACATCAGCCAATTTCAAAACGTAACCCTCAGCCTGAGCAGTGCAGCACACGAAACAACTAGGATTAAAACTTTTTTCTTTTTTACTTACAGCTTTTGAGAGGTGGTTTTTTGCTTCTTTTTTGTAATCAGGAAATACATCTAATATCTTTCCCCTCAAATATTCATGTGTTACCTGTCGTGTTTGTTATTGGTTTTGCTTATTATTATTATTATTTTTTTTTTGGGGTGTGGGCATATTGTTCTAGAAACAAAATGGTAATTAGAGGAAGAAAGTTCTGCGAAATGGCAATGTTTGTCGTCACTGCGAAATCCCATTTCTAATCTGTTAAATTTTATCAAGTTATAGTGACTCCGTAACTGCTACTAGTCTGAAACCCTGTTTCTTCATTGCCCATTCATCAATTTCAATTTCAACTTCAACTTCATTTTCATTTTCATTTTATAGTTAGTCAAAACTGTTAATGTAAATTGTAAATTGTAAACATACCTACACTCCACCTACCACCTCCACTTCACCTACCCTACCTACCACCTCCACTTCACCTACTCCACCTACCACCTGCTACCACCTACTCTTCTATATATATAGGAATCATTGTAACATTCAAAAAATATCAATCATAATACATACAATTTATTCCCTCTGTATTTCTCTCTTTATACATCAACTCTAATATGGTATCAGAGCAAGGTTAACAACTTAGTAATTCCGCTTCACCGGCGGGCGGCAGCCTCGCCTTGGCCGCCCGCCGGACCTCTACACATGCCTTCACTCCCTCTCTCTCTCTCTCTCTCTGCAAGAACCTTACATACAGAAGCTCCATTTCCTCTCTGCTGCTCGTCAAACATGGCGGCCACCACTAGAGGTTGCCGATTGTTTCACGAATGCTTCGTCTGCCCTCGTTTCTTCTGTCATAACCAGAAGCCCGAAGTCGATCCCTTCGCCGCCGAGGGCTACGCACGCGCCTCCGGCCTCCTCGGCGTCTGCATCGCCACCAAACTAGTCAGCGGCCTCGCCGACGCAATGCTCGACAGCGTCCCCGTCGATTACAGTACTCTGTTTTCATTGATTCAATCTGCACCTGGTTTTCTCTCTCTAGCTTGGAACAAAGTCCCTCTTCTCACTGTTTCTCGGAGGTAACCCAGCAACACCCACTCGAGCTTGCTCTCGGAATGACTGAACTCGCAGATCAGATTAAAAAAAAAACAAAAAAAAAAATCGCCACCTCCGGCCCCGGCGCCACCAAACTAGTCAGCGGCCTCGCCGACGCAATGCTCGACAGCGTCCCCGTCGATTACAGTACTCTGTTTTCATTGATTCAATCTGCACCTGGTTTTCTCTCTCTAGCTTGGAACAAAGTCCCTCTTCTCACTGTTTCTCGGAGGTAACCCAGCAACACCCACTCGAGCTTGCTCTCGGAATGACTGAACTCGCAGATCAGATTAAAAAAAAAAAACAAAAAAAAAAAATATGGAGTTCCCATACAGCCACCACCGCAGGGAAGAAAGAGACGAAGAGTACCCACCACCAGCGCCACCCTCCTTCGACGGGCCTCCACCACCACATCCGCCGTCATATTACGAACCACCGCCACCAACTGTGTATGGAGGCGGCCCAGGCGAACCATACCGACTGTTAGGGTTGTCCCCCAAGCAGAGAGTACTTTCTCTCTCACTATCCGTGACGGCCAGGTCATCCTTGCCCGCTCCAATCACTCCGATCCTTTCCAGCACTGGATCAACGATGAGAAGTTCCGTCCACGAGTGACGGATGAAGAGGGCTTTCCCAGCTTTGCTCTGGTCAATAAGGCCACTGGTCAGGCTATCAAGCACTCCGTCGGAGCAAAGTGCCGAAACCCATCCCCCAAATTCGGCGCCGCCCCGTTCTTCCCGAATTTCTTGACGAAGTTCGGATCGAAGGTTTACATCATTCACAGGAGGACAGAATTTAGGGCTTCGAAGATTATGCAGAGATGCTCCACTTTTTAATCTTTTTTCCAAACCCAACACCCTCTCCCTCCACTTTATCACATGGCTTGTCCCCTCTCTCTCCTCCGTTTGATTTTCAACTCAATTCTTTTTATTTTATTTTTTTTTCAAATCACTTTTACTCACCAAACAACCTTTCACAGCCACTCTGCACTCCAATAATTTCCCACCACCCCACACCAGCACTCACTTCCCTCTTTCATTTATTTATTTTAAACACTTTTCCACGGCACGTGAGCCAGCCCTTTTCCAATAATTTTCCATTACATTTTATTTAACAAACATACAACAAAAAAAAAAACAAAAACAAAAACAAACCCACAACTACATTCATTCCAGTTGATTTTTCTGCCTTACCACACCTCCCATTCGAGTTTGCAAAACACACTTATTTTATTCATATTGGGGTTCAACCCCGATCACACTGTTACAGCAAAAAAAAAAACGAAAAAAAAAAAAAAAAACAAAACAAAAAAAAAAACAACAATTGTTATATTTATATAAAATTACAAATTATGTTATGCTAGCATTTAAATCAAGTTCTTAATCAATACAAGGTCATACCTCTTCGTAGCCCAGTGATTCTCTTTCAGTAGTTTGTAGTCATCCGAGGACTGTTATAATTTCTTAAACAAATACCCAAAATAATTAATCCATATCAGAAGCTTCTGGGTCAGTTTGGATTTCGTTCTTTTCAGGAACATAACAAACACTCTACACATGAACTCTACTCGGAATAGTT